TCAAGATTTGAACAGTTTGTTTTTACAGGATAACTTGATATTTTAATGTCAGGTATTTAGAAACATTATATCTTGTGAATGTCAACAGACAAGCAAGATTTGAACAGTTTGTTTTTACAGAATAACTTGATATTTTAATAACATTACCTGAATGCATTTAATTGTATAGTTTTGGTTTATAAAAGTTGTGGATGCTAACAAGTTTATGAAAATGTTATAAGATAAACTAATGAAGCCAAACATTCATTGCACACATGAATACAAGAACATTTCAGTACATATTGAATTTACAAGTATAAAATTAATATAGCTCTCATATACATGACCTTATCATATGGATAATACTGCAGTCTCAGTTTTATAATCTTTACAAAATTATCTCTCCATGATATTCCAAAAACATAAAACACTATTGTAACTCACCTTCAAATTTCTCATATAAACTGAAGTCTAACTTTTCTGGAACAAACTTTGGCCTCTTCACTTTAGATTCTAAGGTGGCTTTATCTAGAGTCAATGAGGCTACCTTTCTCAAGACATTTCCATCTAAAGGAGGGACATCACCTTGGGAAGAGAAGCGACGACTGGTCGACAGCCGACTTTCACTGTTTGTAAAAAGTGAGGCTGGCCTCAAGACCTCCTCAGAGTTTGAGAAATCCCGCTTAGCACTACCTGCTGCAGGTGGGGTGCTGAATTTGTGTGGAGGCAGAATAATCTTCTTGTGTTGAGTAACAGTGAAAGCACTTGTAAGAGATCCAGTGCTGACCTCCATGGATGATCTAGTATTAGCAGAATACCCATCCTTTGGTGTACTATAAATAACTGTTTCTCTCCTTCCAAGGCTCCCATAGCCATAAGGAATACAAGTTTTGATATCCTCCACATTATTCATAGAGTGGTAACGAGACTGCTGTTCTTCAGATAATGCATGGTAAACCTCTAGTTGGTCATCTGGGGTTCCAGGATATGACTGGACTGCTACAGGAGTTGTACTCTCAGATACTTCTTCCAGCTTGGATTCCACATTAAGGTCAGTTTCGTTGTTCAAAGTACCTGGCACAACAGAAGCATCTTCAGGCATGGGGACGTCTAACAAGGATTCCACCTCCGACACAGTATTGTCATCAGTAGCATGTTCATCGGGCGTCGCGAGGTGACTCACCGTATCTACATACTGGGAGCTTGATACAGAGCTTTCTGTGCTAGGGGTCGTGTCCACAGTAGCGTGAAAATTCGATACAGAGGCCAGTACTTTTGAAGCTTTGCACGGCTCCGCAGAGAGATATCGTGCAACTGCAGTGGCACTGGTCTGTGAAGGCACATGCACTTGAGGCTTAACGTCATCATCAGGCGGTTTCTTTGTTTTACTAACTTCTTGCTTTATTACAGCAGCACTACTTTCCACGGATTTCTTGCTTGTAAGATCTTTGCCTCGTCTGAATTTAGATGGACTGGCTTTGGCTTCAACTTGCCCTATTTGATGTTGAGCTGGTGATCCCTTCCCTTTCTTCTCAGCTTGCTGACTACTCAAATTTCCCATCGTCGGTAAGTATTGGTGGTCAGCACACGCCCAGTCAACGCTACACCACCACCTGTGAAAGAACAAGCAGTCGGCTCGCCTGCATCTCCTACATGTTAGCTCGGGAAAACTGCCGGTGGGCGTGGCCTCACAATAACACTCTTTTGTAAAGGAAGTATGAGGATAAGTTGCTGATTTGTATTCTTCGTAATCTTTATTAACACTCTCACACAGATCGTAACTTGTAGCTACGAATACTTCATTATTACTGTCAGTGCATGCTCGTATTGAACAACGTGGAATGCCATCTGCAGAGCAATGAAGCTGTGACGAAGTGTACTTCGTGGGCGGATAAATATAATCAATATGGCCACAGTCGACTATCTTGGGTGAGTGCGCCGAAACAGCTCCACTCCCAGATGTGGGCGACATACATGAGAAGCACCTGCAGCCTTGGTTGTGTTGCCTTTTGTCAGAAACAATACCGCCGCTGTCAACTTTATCAGTCCGAGAAAAATTAAGGGCAATTTGTTCGAGCAGTTTTCCATTCTTCTCCTCATCGAAATGTAACCGTGATAAGTTTGTAAGGCCGTTACCGTGTTGAATTACGTCATCAGGAATTGCAACGTCATCAAAAACAGCTGCAGGCAGAGTCGCGGGAAACTCGTACGTATCGCCACGCTCGTTATCTGTCAAGCAATATCCATCGTGCAAAGGACTGTAACCGGTATTTACTATATCACCAATACGTTCGCAATAATCTCTTTTCATTGTCTCGCTAAAAGCTTCAATTTCTCCAGTTAAAACTGGAGGATTAACACGCCAGTATAACCATTCACTGAACTCTGTGGAAAGGCTGGAGGAGTCGAAGGATTCCATGATATGTATCAGACAAGCAGCACGGGATGTGTATGTAATCTCGATTATTACAGTTACGATCCAACTTGTAGTATAACCATGATCCTTCTCTGGTCCCGAGCAGGCTTAATCCAGCATAGCTTCATGTACGATTCCAACGGATTCTAAAATGAAACATTGATACCACACTATAAAACATAATAAAAGTAACTATTGATAATTACTGTACCTAAGTCAGTACGTACCTGGAGGATGTCACACAGAGTAAGAAAATAAACTGTTTCGTATGTTTTGAAAACTAGTAACGTAAAAATACCCATATGGAAATTCCAGATCTGAGTTTAATCAAGTCAGAGCTGCAACACTACCACCCAGATCTGAAAATCCTGATTTCACATGAGTTAAGTTGCATTTTCTTGAAATCATGTCAGATCTGGAACAGCACTGGTACAGACAAGAGTAAATCAAGCCAGATCTGGATACCACCCAGATCTGAAAATCCAGATTTCATATTTGGAACTCTTCAGCCCAGATCTGGGAATTATGTTAACTATTTTATCCATATCGGAAATTATACCGAACAAAGTAATCCACCTGATGTCCAAATATATGGTAACCTATTGTAAATACTATGTAAAATACACGTTAGCTAAATTAATCAGGCAGACTGAAGATGTATAATACAACTCCTGTATCTGGATATCTCAGTACAGTTACATACGTCTGCATTTTCTTATAATTATACAGGGACTTAATTGCTTAAATTTTGAGGTTTTATAACAAAATTGATTATCTCTACACACCATGTACATTTATTCATCTTGTATGTTTTTCTTTTAGTTTCAGTTCTTAAAATGTGTTACTGAAATGTCAATTTCTTTCAGGTTATTAAAAATAGTAGCTTGTGAGGATTAAATTTCCTCTTAAGTGGTTATAATAACAATCTTTAAGTACGAGTAATCCCATAAAATCACCTATTTGCCTTTTTTCATTCTAGCATCACAATTTATCAGTGTTTACATTTTAGCATTAGGTGAAAATAGGTGAGATTCCTATTACTATTTAAAACAAAGCTATTACATTTTATAGAAATAATCAGTTTAAAAATAAAGAACAGAATTATGAATATGTTTTATACTGTAATCATCAATTCTTTTCCCACTTATTAGAAAAAACACATAGTCAAGTACTCACATACATTTCATTTTTAATTTTGTGAGTTTATAATTAATTATTCACATCCCTCCACGAGAACTAAATAAACCAAATATACTTTTTTTTAAATCTGTGCTGACAATTCTTCCCACATAAATTAAAGGTTTCAAAATGACTAACAGTTCATCATTCCACAAAGTGTAACAAATTAGTGTGTCCAACCTCTAAGTACTGAATAGTGTAATAGTTTCTCTTTACTTCTCTTGATTCTGATGTATACGTTTAATTTCTGTAAACAATCCTAGAAAACAAAGAAATACATGCATTTTCATTTACACATTCTCTTTGGATAAAATAATTTAATGCATGTAATTCAGCTACTGCCTGCTATTTCTTTGCTCATAAGAATGCAATCTTGCACTTTGATAATATTTTGAGGATTTTTTGCTTTGACCTCATCCATGACATCATGCACGACTGTATTGAACTTAATGGATATTTTACAACTCTTAATGAGTTTGTAATCACACAAAGATTTCAGTTGTTTGTTAACACTTTGTGCCTTGTACTAAAAACAGGTGTCTACTTTTATTTTCAAATAAAAAAACGGGAATTAGTCCATAGTAGTCCCATATTCTGACAGCTTTAACTAAATGTAAAAGCTGATCTGCATTGTTTGTACAAAACTCTTGTCCACACAACAAAGAGCTTGAAGGATTATTTGCTAAGTTAGATGTGGTTAGTGATATCTTTTCTTGTAGCAAGTAATAAAGTGCAGCCATTGAAAGCATAGAATGTTCCAAGAGCTGGAATTTTAAATGGCCACGAAGCACCAGAATCCAATAAAACATAAGTCATGCTCTCCATTCAGATGCCTTCCAGTATTGTCGAAGTATATGAATTTAAAACACAACACACAAAATGTACGATGTTTCAAATTGGGTAAACTGTGTTGTGCAATCAATATCAAGTCTCCTAAATATTACAGCTTTTACACATGGAGTAAAAAGAGGGATTTGTAGCTTGAGGAAATAATGTCAACACTATATCTCAAATTTTAAGCTTGTTTGTTACTTTTTGCGATTGCATTTTCACTTTAAGCTACCTATATTGTTTCTGTATTTTTTTGAAAATCCCTATTCCCCCTTTTTAAATTAGTTTTTTTAATAATCTTTTTTTTATAATTTTTATGTTCAACATGGACACAAGTCTGCATCATACCAATACTGTCCTATCTGAAACAGCTTAGTTTAATGAAATACATAGTTGGTGTATGGTGCTCTCTCAGTAAACAAAGACAACCTTGTGGCTTCTGATATCATTGCCACAATGTTATCATTGATAGTGATACTGCACCTATGATCACTATAATGCATGGTGATCAACATGCCACATGTTATGTGTATGCATGTAAAATATATATATGTATGTATGTATGTATGTATATACCTTGTAGCTATATGGGGGAGTCTTTAAACACTGGATTGGAGGAACTACTGAATACACACACACACACATATACATAGTTTTTTTTTTAATTGAAAAGCCGTATACATATATAGCCATATCAATTTTTCAAGTTATATACATGCATGCATATACATTCAGTGCGAATATGAGACAATATGTCATAATGGCATATGTTTAAAAATAAGCATTTTTAATAGTTCTAATAGTTGTTATACTTCCTTCTTCCTCCTCCAATTCCGCTGGCGGTAGTAAGGCTGGTCACGGTTTTGCTACAGCTTTCCTCTTAGAGTGACATTCTGCCCACTTTACAAGGTCGAAAACGTGTTAGTTAACAGTTATAAATTGATTATATTAATATACTTCCTCCAATTCTGATGGAGTTTGTGTCATGCCACTTCTACGACACTAAACTTTTGTGGGCTGTCGTTGCTGCATACTTTATCTGAAACTAAATATTTTCTAAATAAAATATATAGCTACAAAATTTGTGCCTCACTTTCGCCTAGAATTACCATCTCCTGCTTGCCCGATTCTTCCTACTCCTTATAGTCAGCTTCAAAGATGGCTACTCTACCTGCAGTATCTATAAAATTCGCAATCACGCAGTGTTGGCTATAATTCGACACTTACCATCAGCCGTCACCGTGATTGTCGATCCGATGCTCGAAACTGAGCTTGGTGCTATCATTTAAACTACCGCTTAAGGATTTCTTTTGTGGGAGACAACTTAGACGATTGCATAACGTTTTAGACTTTGTGTAACATGGCCGAAATCGATCATGCATTGGTAAAAAAAGCGATACTGTCAGGAGTGTCGTGTCCGAAATGGCAGGAACATTATACATAAACAAATTATATGCGACATAAATACAGTTGCAATAATAAGTTAATAATTGCTATGGTACATGTGTTATGCCTGTCATATAATCATTCAATTACGTCCACAATCTGCACGCAGCTATCTATATACGTATGCATGTGGTAGATTATGAGGCTCTATATAAACCATAGAGTACATTAAATTGATTGGATGTCAACGGTTATACAGCCGCTGTTATTTGCTAGGTAGTCAAATACACATAAAACTACAATATGCAATGATGCGTTTAGTAATATTGCCAAGGTTGTATTACAATGCTCGCAGCAATCCTTGCTGTAGTCTGGGGGAACAATATCAAATAATAATAAAGAAGAACACGAATCTAAGAACAAGGGAATGTAAGCATGGAGCGTTTCATCTCGGTAACATCATGGAGCCAAAATATGGGTTTGTAGTTTGAGTAAATAATGTCTACAGTATCTCCAGCCTTGTTTCCTTACTTTTTTTCACGATCCTTATTTGCATGTTTTAAAAATCCAAATTTTTTATCTATCTTGTGAATTCAGAGCTAACCAGGTAATTAAAAGTGTAACAGTATACTACTTGGTTAGATATATTAGAGAAACGCAATATATGAGATCGAAGTAATGAATTCAAGCAAATGAACGAGTGGCTTAAGCGGAGGGCACAATGGCAGGACCTGGGATGGAAAAACAGAAAGGTGCAAACTATCGATTGGTCAAGTGGTTGGTTACGTAAAAGGTAGGACTAGTAAATTGATGGCATATGTTTACAAACAGAAAAAAAAACGTAAAGAATAATAAATAAAAAGATGCATGAAATGAAACTTGGATGAACTAATAGTCCGGGTTGATAGATACAAACTGGTTCACAAATTGTCAGTCAAAAGGATAAAGGTCACTGGACAGATGCAAGTTACAAATGAGCGTACTTTCAATTATTAAACGAATCTTAGAACAAGGGAGAGCAAGCATAGAACGTTTCATCTCTTTTACTGTGTTTGCACGAGCTCTGAATGTGTAAGAACAAGTTAAATAAAATGCATGATTACAGAAGTTCAATCTATGTTAGTCTGTACAGTTCTTTAAATTTTAAACCACTGTTCTACATGCATTTGGTTTTTCATTCGAATACTTTAAGTTTTCGTCACAGGGTGGCGAAACATTGCAATTAAGAATCCAACATGACGTTTTCATATTAATATAAATGTTAGAGGTATCCCACACTTTACAAGATTTAAAATTCAAAAATAGCTAAAAGTGGGATAGAAATAATAAAAGAATACAAACATTTAATAAAACACAAGGAGTAGGTTTACACTTATGCTAGCTCAAGGTTATATGGTTGACGTCACCAATTAAGTGTACTTAAATGTCGTGTACAATTGAACTAAATACCTGATGATGCCACGTTAACAGTGGCGAAACGTTGTTTTTAAATCATATATTTTTTTATCCCATTTTAACTGTTTTTTTCATTTTAAACGTTTGTCATAAAAATATTTCTACAAGTATACGTACATAATAAACGTTAAGCTGTCAAATAACAAAACCTGCGGCTTACTAAAGGCCCGAGTTTTAGAATAATTCGAACCAAAGATTCAGAAAGTGGCGAAATACATTAAATGGTCACCGGAAATGGCTGCCTTCTCATATCACACTGATGCAGAAAAAGTAGCTCTGACGAGAGGTGATTAATAAACTCTTGCAATACGTTGAGGTATATCTACTTTCTGGACAGATAAGATGGATTTCAGGAAATGTTCTTGAAGTTAAAATCTCCTATAGTCACCTATCCTCTCGGTCACAATATACCACTACTAACGCTTACCCTTGATATGCACTGGACAATAATGTATGACATTCTACTACCGACAAGTTGGTGCCTGTATTACAGGTGATGTTCACAAAGCAAAACGTCTTTACGGCGATGAACTAACATTTACTGTAAAGAAAAAAAGAAAGAATTGGAGACGCTTCATTAGGACTATGTTCAAATGAACCCGAAGTCATGTTGATGACC